GATCGCTTGAGTGAGTTTTACACGTGTGTCAGAATTTCTTCTGCATGGTTGTACCTAGCCACCTGCAAAAGATAAGAGTTTGTTTGTACTGTAAACATGACAACGTAATAACACACAAAAATGTCAATATTCTCACCATCGGTGTTGTTTTTGTCAAGGTGAATATGACAACCAGACACAATGAAATACAACTTTAAGGTAGGCGTTCGGACAATATAAGGATTATTATCAGGGTATCTCACCCTCCTGTGGTATTCGAGAGCCTTTTCATCGCTAATTAAAGCTGCAATTATATTATCATGCCATGTGCTACACATCCGTAAAGAGTAAGTCCAGCGCTTGACCGATGTATAGTCAACTTGTAAGTTCCAACAATTATCCAAGTGTCAGCATTTTACAAGCGTAGGTGATGATGCAACCATGTTTCACAAAAGCCTGTACACTGACCCTGATTTTTTTACTTCTTGTCTGTTGCTTATCACATCACTCGGCACTATTCTAGTTATATGACAAGGGCGTGAAAATGTTCGTGTCCGGACCAGACAACCTACAGATCGATATAATGAGCAACGATCCACGACGTCAGGGCATGATGACACGCAATCAAACAAGTCACCGAACCTGACCAATTGCTCCACTTGGTCGCCTCTTACGCCCAGCATAGTCTGCTAGGGACCTATCATAACCTGGAATCCACTTACTTTAATAATAAATGCATTGGCAGTATTTGACAAAGTGTACAAATAAACGTTTTTGTGATTATTTTCCTTGTCTCGCGACAACCTTTGACCTCACATCATGTGGCAAAAGAATTCCTCAGGTGAAGTGCAGGATATTCTTCAGTGCCATATTCAACAGATGTATAAGAGGGATCGGGTGGTCAGGCGCGCTGAGTCGGTTGATGCATGTCATCCTAACTAAATTGCGTTGAGCCATGCTCATGATATCAATCACTGGATTGTCTGGTCCGGACTCGATTATAAACAGACTGTAGTCATATAGCGGGAATATTTCAAAGTGCGGCGTTAAACAACAAACAAACAAACAAACAAACAAAACAAATGTATTAATACAGAATAATATCTTAGGTCGTCATCTTATTGTAGTAGGCTGTAGCAAAATCACCGGGGCCGTAGCAGTCAAATTCCCAAAAAAGTTTAAAACAGTCTCGTTTCACGCGGCTGCAAATTATGGCTCAAACATAGATATGCAAGCCCGATGATTAACGCCGCATCGAGGTGACCTCCGGTGGACACCCGTGATTGACAACCAAGTCCGCGAGCCTGACTACCGATCCATTTAGTCGTTTTTCACAACAAATACATGTTGCTGGGGTCCTTTGCTTTTACCTTAGATCCCGACGGGTCGAAATGTATGAGAAATTATATCCCTTGATGTCAATGTCCTCATCATGACGATCATCAATTATTGTACCCTAGTCATCGTCACTTACTTTAATGAACATTGCATTTGTGCAGGTGGTAGCACAAAAGAACGGTCCGAGTATAGTTAAGTAGATAAATATCATATTATCTACTTACGATAAAATCTCCTCCTATTTCCTCCTGATCCTGCCCTTCTGTTCCAAAAGGAACCGCGCCTTCTGTTCCATTGTGGCCATCTGTTCCTTGTCGACCCCGGCCATTTGTTCCTTGTCGACGCTCCTGACCATCTGTTCCATGTCGACGCTCCTGACCATCTGTTCCATGTCGACGCTCCTGACCATCTGTTCCATGTCGACGGTCCTGGCCATCTGTTCCATGTCGACGCTCCTGACCATCTGTTCCATGTCGTCGAACCTGACCCAGACCATCTGTTCCATGTCGTCCACGCAGTAGCTGCAATAGACAAGGTTTGTTGTTCAACGCCGCACCCATCAATACCATTACCGTCTGGACCAGACAATTCAGTGATTGACATGATGAGTACAGATACAATCAATTTTAATGCGATTCGTTGACAGGCAATTAACTATGTCATACATTACCGATCCTGACCACCCGATTCATTTAGTCGTCGCTTACGTAAAGCACAGGTTCCTGGGGATCCAAGGGTTTGATTCTAAATGTCTTTGTACAGATACGTAATTGTTTTTCATTATAATCAGAATGTTCCTATTAACATTCTCACGCTATCAGCGTGACTGCTTCGGTTGTTTGAAATTATTCGGAGAGAGTGGTTCGTTTTTGCTTTTATACATGTAAAACGGTTTTTGTGTAAACAGTTTCAAACAAGCCATATATCTTCGTAGCAAGTCAGCTTTCAATTAACCGATAATTGAACATTCACTGTTTATTTCTAAATCTTGCAGAATAAGAGATATAAAATGAACCGTATACTCAAGGACCGACCATTTGTCATTTGTTCTTTGGCCTTTCAATAATATCTTGTCCAGTGGAAATGTGAGATGTCCTGTTTTGAACAAACTATATTTTGGCTCTTCCTTTCAATGACGAAGTGACTAAAGAATATATCCCACAAAGGATTTTTGTACTTACGACAAGGGGCATGGCTGCAATTGACCGTTCTCTCCTCACGTGTAATACAGTCAGGGGGCGTGCAAGTATTAACACAGACTCGACTGCGAGCCTGCATCTGTGTCCCGCATCCACATGTCACAGAACACGGACCAGTATTACCCCACGGGCACCAGGGGCCGATCACTGAATATGAAATCAAGACAAGAATCTTTGAACATCTAAAGTCTATTTGGACCCTTCGTGCAGCAATTAATGATCGATAGCAAAACCCGAATCGTGACTTCTGACGATAAGTTACATACACTTATACACATACACATTTTCTTGCCGACAATCGCGACATGACCATGCATGGCCGAAGACGCAACCTTCATCAATCGCGTTTACATTGTGGTGTCCGTTACAACCCCGTATTTTCTTGAGTTTTTTAAAACTATTTACCTTTGCTTTGTTACTGAAAAGTTGTTATCGCTATTGTTCTATCTATACACGGATCTCACATAATGTTATTACTACAAATGCAGGTAGAAACAGCCCGGGGAGCCGTTCAATATATGTTTCAACAGTTGCCGACATTTTGATATGGTGCACGCATGCGCTAGATTTCTAGGTCTGTTTTTGTAGATATTTTCCTCTGCTGTATGGATTAATCTCTCTGACACCAATGAAATAGGTAGTCCATGGTGGAAAGCACACGGACAGTTCTCTCCTCGTTGGTTATTGGTTTAACATCAACACGTTTATACAATGTGTCTTAGTTGCATTAAACATGGTACATGTTTTACTTATCACTTATCACAAAGGCTTTTTCTGCATACCTGGACAGGTACAAATCTGACAATTGACTGTTCTTATCTCAACTGGTGTGAAGCCAGGCGGGCAACAGGTGGAACCGGTACAAGTCCGGGTCCTCAACTGCAACCTTGTCCCAGGCCCACAGGTCGTTGTGCAAGCGCCATTATCCGCCCATTCGGACCACATGCTGATAACTGCAAAGGAGATGAAGGTCGTTATGAAATCACACATCGATGTAGTGTATGAAAAAAGAAAGCAATAGAGGGTTCACGCATTGAGAATAGGAATATGTGTTCGGTTGATGACACATGTTCTGGCGATGACTTGGAGGCAGTCTGTATTCTAGTTCTGAAGTCGATATTGTAGATCAAGATTTCATCAGGACATCTAACATTTAAGAAAAGAACAGAAACAGAAATGTCACGCAGATAATATAAGACTTTATGCCTTTCTTGCAAAGGAATGGAAAGTGTTTATATTTTTCGTCAGAAACAAACTAAAAGTCATGTTCTTTCCGCTTTGTGCGTTAGCTATCATTACGAAACCTTGCAGTCACCTGCGAGACGTATTTCCTTTAATACAGAAGGTGGGTGTCAAGAATGGCATTAATAAAGTATATTTGCAAGTGTGTGCCCAAATGGTCAGTTATACACATATTATTGATGTTTGCCTCAGCGTTTCAGATCTTTCAAGGACACCACAGCAGAAATTTCCAATTCTGAAACTTCTTAATAATTCTTGTTCAGGACTTTGCAGTACGTTTCTGTTAAAACTATAAACAGATGTGTAACATAAAACTACTTGAAGTTGGTGTCGATTGCGAGGCTCCATGGAGTATCAATCTAAACGATTTTCTTGGTATATACAGACCAAACAGGCTCCATGCAGGGGTATTCTCCTGTGTCCGACATACAAGTCTGGTGGGTGCAACGAGTTTAAAACCGAAAGTAAGCCATGCTACCATTGTCACTGCCAGGGTGTATTGTTTCCAAACACCAAGGTCAGTCTAATAATCAGAATGTTTAAACAATTAACATTCTTTACCAAAATAGGTAAACCCCCTTCTTCTATACAAACCCTAGACTAGCTATGAAGTGTATATGAACAACTTTCAGGCTACATTGTGTCCATGGTGGGCTGAATTTGGTACTGATTCTAATTCATGTGATCAGAAATCAGCAGATTTTAGTGTTTACAACATAACTTCTCATCCTGTGGAAAACCCTTGCAAAATGTTGTTGTTTTTAACTTGCTACTGATTGTAAATTAAAATCTCAAACAAGTGGACACAAAACGGAATTATCTCAGTCGCCATATGTCCATGTTTTGGTGAGAAACAAACTAAACTTTGTGCGTTAACAATCATCGCAAAACTTTGCAGTCTATTCCGTCGCTATACGTAATTCCTTTAATACAGTGGGTGTGTTGTCTACACCATTAATAAAGTATATTTGCAATTGTGTGCCTAAATGGTCATTTATATAGATATCCTTGATGTTTGCCTCAGTTCTTTAGTTTGATTTTGTCAAGGAAACCACAGCAGAAATGTATTATTTCCTCTCACTTAACAAGGGTGTTATGTACGTTTTTGTTAAGAAACAAACTTAATATGAAGTTTTGTCCACTTTGTACATTTGTCCTATAATTCGACATGTTGGAACAATTTACATTACAAACTAGACATGATTTTCCTTTATTTTTTATTATAAAGGATTTTGTACTTACCTGGACATGTACAAATCTGACAATCGACAGTTCTCGTCTCAACTGCTGTGAAGTCAGCCGGGCAACAGGTGGAACCGGTACAAGTCCGGGTCCTCGTCTGCATCTTCGTCCCAGGCCCACAGGTCGTTGAGCAAGTTCCATTATCAGTCCATTCGGACCACATGCTGATAACTGCAAAGGAGATGAAGGTCGTTATGAAATCACACATCGATGTAGTGTATGAAAATAGAAAGGAATAGAGGGTTCATGCACTGAGAATAGGAATATGTGTTCGGTTGATGACACATGTTCTGGCGATGACTTGGAGGCAGTCTGTATTCTAGTTCTGTAGTCGATATTGTAGATCAAGATATCATCATGACATCTAACATTTAAGAAAAGAACAGAAACAGAAATGTCACGCAGATAATATAAGACTTTATGCCTTTCTTGCAAAGGAATGGAAAGTGTTTATATTTTTCGTCAGAAACAAACTAAAAGTCATGTTCTTTCCGCTTTGTGCGTTAGCTATCATTACGAAACCTTGCAGTCACCTGCGAGACGTATTTCCTTTAATACAGAAGGTGGGTGTCAAGAATGGCATTAATAAAGTATATTTGCAAGTGTGTGCCCAAATGGTCAGTTATACACATATTATTGATGTTTGCCTCAGCGTTTCAGATCTTTCAAGGACACCACAGCAGAAATTTCCAATTCTGAAACTTCTTAATAATTCTTGTTCAGGACTTTGCAGTACGTTTCTGTTAAAACTATAAACAGATGTGTAACATAAAACTACTTGAAGTTGGTGTCGATTGCGAGGCTCCATGGAGTATCAATCTAAACGATTTTCTTGGTATATACAGACCAAACAGGCTCCATGCAGGGGTATTCTCCTGTGTCCGACATACAAGTCTGGTGGGTGCAACGAGTTTAAAACCGAAAGTAAGCCATGCTACCATTGTCACTGCCAGGGTGTATTGTTTCCAAACACCAAGGTCAGTCTAATAATCAGAATGTTTAAACAATTAACATTCTTTACCAAAATAGGTAAACCCCCTTCTTCTATACAAACCCTAGACTAGCTATGAAGTGTATATGAACAACTTTCAGGCTACATTGTGTCCATGGTGGGCTGAATTTGGTACTGATTCTAATTCATGTGATCAGAAATCAGCAGATTTTAGTGTTTACAACATAACTTCTCATCCTGTGGAAAACCCTTGCAAAATGTTGTTGTTTTTAACTTGCTACTGATTGTAAATTAAAATCTCAAACAAGTGGACACAAAACGGAATTATCTCAGTCGCCATATGTCCATGTTTTGGTGAGAAACAAACTAAACTTTGTGCGTTAACAATCATCGCAAAACTTTGCAGTCTATTCCGTCGCTATACGTAATTCCTTTAATACAGTGGGTGTGTTGTCTACACCATTAATAAAGTATATTTGCAATTGTGTGCCTAAATGGTCATTTATATAGATATCCTTGATGTTTGCCTCAGTTCTTTAGTTTGATTTTGTCAAGGAAACCACAGCAGAAATGTATTATTTCCTCTCACTTAACAAGGGTGTTATGTACGTTTTTGTTAAGAAACAAACTTAATATGAAGTTTTGTCCACTTTGTACATTTGTCCTATAATTCGACATGTTGGAACAATTTACATTACAAACTAGACATGATTTTCCTTTATTTTTTATTATAAAGGATTTTGTACTTACCTGGACATGTACAAATCTGACAATCGACAGTTCTCGTCTCAACTGCTGTGAAGTCAGCCGGGCAACAGGTGGAACCGGTACAAGTCCGGGTCCTCGTCTGCATCTTCGTCCCAGGCCCACAGGTCGTTGAGCAAGTTCCATTATCAGTCCATTCGGACCACATGCTGATAACTGCAAAGGAGATGAAGGTCGTTATGAAATCACACATCGATGTAGTGTATGAAAATAGAAAGGAATAGAGGGTTCATGCACTGAGAATAGGAATATGTGTTCGGTTGATGACACATGTTCTGGCGATGACTTGGAGGCAGTCTGTATTCTAGTTCTGTAGTCGATATTGTAGATCAAGATATCATCATGACATCTAACATTTAAGAAAAGAACAGAAACAGAAATGTCACGCAGATAATATAAGACTTTATGCCTTTCTTTACAATGGAATGGAAAGTGTCGTGAGTTTATATTTTTCGTCAGAAACAAACTAAAAGTCATGTTCTTTCCGCTTTGTGCGTTAGCAATCATTACGAAACCTTGCAGTCACCTGCGAGACGTATTTCCTTTAATACAGAAGGTGGGTGTCAAGAATGGCATTAATAAAGTATATTTGCAAGTGTGTGCCCAAATGGTCAGTTATACACATATTATTGATGTTTGCCTCAGCGTTTCAGATCTTTCAAGGACACCACAGCAGAAATTTCCAATTCTGAAACTTCTTAATAATTCTTGTTCAGGACTTTGCAGTACGTTTCTGTTAAAACTATAAACAGATGTGTAACATAAAACTACTTGAAGTTGGTGTCGATTGCGAGGCTCCATGGAGTATCAATCTAAACGATTTTCCTGGTATATACAGACCAAACAGGCTCCATGCAGGGGTATTCTCCTGTGTCCGACATACAAGTCTGGTGGGTGCAACGAGTTTCAAACCGAAAGTAAGCCATGCTACCATTGTCACTGCCAGGGTGTATTGTTTCCAAACACCAAGGTCAGTCTCATAATCAGAATGTTTAAACAATTAACATTCTTTACCAAAATAGGTAAACCACCTCCTTCTATACAAACCCCAAACTAGCTATGAAGTGTATATAAACAACTTTCAGGCTACAAATATAGGCACAAGGCAGGAACAAATTGTGATGATGCAAGGAAATAATTAAAATACACTTGTCCTTTGTGGGCTGCCTTTAGTACTGATTCTAATTCATGTGATCAGATATCAGCAGATTTTAGTGTTTACAACATAACTTCCCATCCTGTGGAAAACCCTTGCAAAATGTTGTTGTTTTTTATTCTGAATGTAAATTAAAATCTCAAACAAGTGGACACAAAACGGAATTATTTCAGTCGCCATATGTCCATGTTTTGGTGAGAAACAAACTAAACTTTGTGCGTTAACAATCATCGCAAAACTTTGCAGTCTATTCCGTCGCTATACGTAATTCCTTTAATACAGTGGGTGAGTTGTCTACACCATTAATAAAGTATATTTGCAATTGTGTGCCTAAATGGTCATTTATATAGATATCCTTGATGTTTGCCTCAGTTCTTTAGTTTGATTTTGTCAAGGAAACCACAGCAGAAATGTATTATTTCCTCTCACTTAACAAAGGTGTTATGTACGTTTTTGTTAAGAAACAAACTAAATATGAAGTTTTGTCCACTTTGTACATTTGTCCTATAATTCGACATGTTGGAACAATTTACATTACAAACTAGACATGATTTTCCTTTATTTTTTATTATAAAGGATGTTGTACTTACCTGGACATGTACAAATCTGACAATCGACAGTTCTCGTCTCAACTGCTGTGAAGTCAGCCGGGCAATTAGCGGTACAGGTTCGGTTCCGAAACTGCATCCGTGTGCCAGGGCCACAGGTCGTTGAGCAAGTTCCATTATCAGTCCATTCGGACCAAGGAGTGATAACTGCGAAATATATGATTTTGTAGTATATAGTATTTGAAATTGCAAAGCTTATAATGTTTCTCAAGTAATAAATGGAATAAAAACAACACCAACAATTGTGAAAGTGATTTTAATTTTATTTTGCAACATAATCTCCATTCTTTTTCAATATCGATAGTGAAGCTTTTCAATTGCAGTCTGGAAGAAGTTTTCTGAAGCCACCCTGAAAAACCCATTCAAAGCAGCTTTGAGGTGAACGTTGTCGTCATAACGCTTTCAACGAAAGTGTTCTTTCAGCTTAGGAAACAGGTGGAAATCACTTGGTGCAAGGTATGGCGAGTATTGAGAGTGAGGAAGCTCTTCGAACCCACATTGTCGCACAGCAGCCGTTGCAAGTTGAGAGGTATGAGAAGAGGCATTGTCATGAAAAACTAGAACTCCACCAATCAGCATTCCTCTTTCTTTGATAGAATCCCTCAGGCAATGAAGCAAATTAGCATACTAGGCACCAGTAATCGTCAAGGATTAACAAGGATCTCACCCTTTGTATCCCAGTATACAGAGGCCATAACTTTCTTCGCTGATCTTAAAGATTGGAATGTCTTTGATGCCGGAGAAGTGGAATGGTGCCATTCCATGAATTGACGTTTTGCCTCGGGATCATAGTTGTAGACCAGTGTTTAATCACACGTTACCAATCTCTTTTTGAATTTGAAGAAATCCTACTCAATTTGCCTCTGACAATGTCAGTTTTTTTTCCTTAAGATGAGAATTTAGACACTTTGTAAACGTTCATGAATAATAACACTTGTCATATGGGGTCATGAATTTCTTTAGGGGAGTACTTTTCTCGGAACTCAAAAACTTGATGACTGCTTGGTACTAGTTCTTTTCCATTTCTGTGTTATTTGGACCCCTATTACGTTCAGCTGGCTGACACTTATATCCAAACGGCCTTAACAGACCAAATACACTTGCCATGAACTACATAAACAATGTACTTCATTGACTAGTTCACTTTGTTATGGCCCATAGTTGAAAGTTAGTCAAGCTTACATTTTTTGGACCAGTCCTCGTATGTTCTCTGTTTTTGGCACCTTCTGGCGATGACATGGAGGAAGTATGTATATGTCGTTTAACAGAGCAATATCACATCTATGCAGCGGCCTGTAAATAATAGAATCTGGACCGAACTATCCAGTTTTGCAATATTTTAATCAATGTCAACGTGACCGAGATTAGGAGCTCAATTATCCGGTTCACCATGAACTGGTGTTCAATTACTTTTTTAAACTGTAATCTTAAGAACGTTGTGCGTTGGTTTTTTTTTGGTGAGTTCCACCCAACTCAGCATCCAGTCCTGCTTGCAGACGTATTTGAAGGTGTTCTTTTGCTGGATGTGAGCTTGCAATATAGGAGCTCCTTCATTATTTCATTCTCCATGACAAATGTGGCGGAGCCAGCGAAGTCAATGCTGAGGTTCCAGCTAATGACCAGGACATGCCGCAGGCTGCTCTTGTGGAAGGCGTTGAACTTCTTTTCTTGTCTCGCGAAAAGGAAGGTCCAAGAGTAGCTGCCAAAGACGCAGACTGCAGACAACAACCTTGGTGTATCTTGTCACCTTGCTGATCTCCCACACTCACGTCGTCAGTCTGGCGGGGGTGGTGGATGCTATGCCTACCTGTCTGTCTCAGCATCCAAAGACAGGTTGTCTGTGATGGTGGAGCCGAACTGTTTTACCACCTCCACCTCATAGACGTTGATGAAGATCACTGTAGGCTGCTCGATGCCATGGTCCAACATGTTTGCCTTTGTTGACTAGGTTGCAAGATCCGACTATCAGCAAAAAGCTTTAGCTTTAGCTTTCCCATCAGATATAGTTTGGAAGTAGATGGTCGGGGCTTCAAAGTGTGCTTCAGTATGACTGTGAAGAAGATTAAAAAAAGGATGGTTCTAGTATGCTCCACTGTGGATGTAGAAAGCCCCAGAGGGTGAACTGTCAAACTGTACCTTTCATGGCAGTATGTAGTGACTGGATCATATTGAGGAGCCAATCTAGGCACACAATGTCGAAAGGCTTTAGTGGGGTTGATCAAAATGCGACAGATTTGAGGCTTCTGCTGATGTCTATTGAGAAGATTCGAGATACACCCTGTCAGCAAGTTTCTGTAGCGAGAGCTTTCTTGTGATGCTTTGCATATTATTGTACAAGGTGCCGATGCTGATGTCTTTCATGTGCTTTGGTACCACACCCTCATCCCAACACTGACACAGAAGTTCATACAGGTGGCCTTGCAAGATCCCCTTTTCTGCAGTTGACAGCCCCTGGAGGGATCCCATCTATTCCGAGCACGCTAAATGGCTTCCAGTGCAGAGCCAGATATGTTATTTTCCCTTTGGTCGAGTGATCAACCCATCTCTCCATCTGCTCTGTTTTTGCCTCTGTCTCTGATTGTTTTGCCCGTTGCAGATTTCAGGGGCAATGTCTTGTTTTGAGTTGGAATGATGTCTTTCTTGATGCTGTGGTACACATTATCAGTCAATAATTGAATGCCCTTGCCGACATGCAGCAAGTAGTCATTCGCGGATGTTATTGCTGTTTTCGTTGTTTTGTTTCTGACAGCTCGTAGGGTTTTCTTGTGAAGGTAGCATTCTATTAGAGCTGCACCCGTTTTCTCGGTGATAGGGATGAGCTCGCAGGAGTAGGCTTCCAGCCAATCGTGAGTTTTCCCCAAAATCTTCCCAGAGGCTGAGAATGAAACAGCATACAGACTGTCTCTCTGATGAACTGATCTTTCTTGGCATCTCCCTGTGGAGGTTCTGTCCAATCTTCCGTCCAATGGTTGTGCGCGGCTTTGCGTACAATGATACGAGTCTCTTCCTTCCAGCTTTGTGTGGTGCATCTCTTTGTCAGGAATCTCATTCTTTCAGGGGAGCAAGGAATGGTCGGCACTTAGGTACACAAATGTGACAAACTCATTGCTGAGGTGGCGTGGTATTGTCCAGGGGTTTACCAGGACTCCTTGTGGTTGGTTGGTTGGTTGGTTGGTTGCCGGAGACTACAAGGAGTGTTTACTGTACGAGTAGCATGGTGATGTCCACTTGCAACAAATGTCCAATACTACTTGGTATAGAGATGGCGGAAAAGCTTCCTGGAGGGATTTGAAGACAAGAGGATACTGTCTTAGCGACTGGAAGAGCAACCAGCAAAGGTTGACGAGACCCCTTTTCCCAAAGCATCTGGTTTTGAGGTACCAGATTGCCACTTTAACAGTCTTGGTCAGGTCACAGTTTCATAAAAACAAGTAATGAATTAAAATTTGATTACTTAAAGTCCACACATTGTCTGCAAGAAAAGGATACATTTTTTTCCGAAAATGCGAGGCATATGTACTTTTTTCAGCAAAACAGGGACCAAAATACCAAATAACCTGACTCGCTGTAATCAATATTCATTAACACTCAAATCTCAAATTAAAATTGTAACACGAATATGATTGGTTCTCTATCCCAAATATCGCGAGAAGTCCAGAAAGTTACTTGTAAGCTTTTAATTCATTTTGCAAGACAGAGAAACATTTCATGTTTCCATACATTGAGTACTTGATGCCTGAAAATTGTAACATTTAAAACCTCAGTCTTAGGCCGAGTGCAATGATAACAACAAATGCATATGACGGCAAATGGTAAATAATTCTCCAGGTCATCCAACATTAATTGACTTTGGAAAAGAAATCTCGCCCCACCAGCATTTCTTCAGGAAAACCACACTTTACATATTGCTCATAATTGTGCAAAATGTTCCAAAATCATAAAATATATCAGATATTGTGCCACAATATTTTATAATTAGATGTTATTGTTAATTGATGATTCGCAAGTGCATAGCTTCTATGCCGCAAGTGATATATTCATGATGTTTTTGTAAGTATGTTTGTATTCATTGCTCTGTACATGTACTATCCAATAATGGTTTAATTAAAATGAAATTGGAAATATGACGTAGCTCAAAAAGGGGAGGCATTTACTGCATATATATAATTGTAGCTTGTTTTAACGAAGGAAAAGTACTACAAAAAGTGATGAAATAATGACATTCTCAACAAATCAAATGCAAATAAAAAGAACAAGATCTTACAAGAGCCTCCTCCTTGTATCAGACTGAATTACGAGATCACCATTTGTCAAAAGAGATATATAGAAGAAGTAACTGTCGTGATATAAACTGTTTTCTTCAAGTAAAGATCAATTGCATTTATAATATATATCTGAATGCGATGGTAACTGAGCAATACTCATGCTATATTGTTTTCACTGACTAAAATATTTAATCGAATGTTACATCACCATGTATGTTATATAATAACTATAACTTCACTACCGGATATATTAATTTAGTTTTGGATCATTACATTGATATTTGCTTTGGAAATTTAATACTATTATAATTTAGAAGAAATATTGTTTCCCTTCTAATTTCAAGCTTACATCCAGTACGGGGAAGATCTAGCCTGGGCTGAAGCATCATCATCCTCTTATGTTCAGTATGTATCTGAAATCCAGAGACGGAAGAATCCGGCCAATCTCCAGCTACTGTCAGTTCAACTTTGAAGGTGGGAAACATCTAGAAGGGGTGTTGAGAACTGGCCCAGGATATTTCTTTCTCAGGGAAGGTATAGCCTAAGTTATTTCGTGACCGGTGAAGAACTGGCCTAGGTCAAACCTTTCCCATGGAAGAACTGGCCAGGGGTACATTTAGCCTGGTACCCGCGTACAAGCTAACCCGTATTTGCAGATTACGTCATGTGTTGTATTGGACTGGTATTGGTTCAGTGTCGTTTATATCATGTTATAATGAGACGTTATGGCCCAATTATGCAAAACTGGTTTGCGGGATCAATTGACTCGCTTACTCGGACGATCAAACAATAAATATAAAAGATATATTAGGCTTTTCTTGTCTAAAAAGGTGTCTATCTCATTGAGTGACCTGCCAAGTTGTTATCTTAATGAAAGGTGCAACCACTTTGTGGGCCAGTCGATGAGAGAAACATGTTAATTGACAAGAAAAGTTAAATGGTCGATTTATTATGTGTTTCCTTGCAGTATTTTCATGATCTTACCATGAAAACTATAATGTCATTGATGTAGACCAAAGTAGTTCCAGCAAAAGTGTTATTTCACTCTGCTGTTAAATCTTTACTCACTTACTCTTTATGTCTTGATGACAGCGTGTATTGCGTGTATTGCCCGAAAATGTGATTTCAGGTAATATTGTGCCGCCCCCTACCCCTTGAATAAAAGCAATAAAACCCTTCCCATAAAACATGTTACTTGAATCACAAGTATTTTATGTGCCTTATCTTGATGCCCCATTCATTACAAAGGAAGCATATAAATAGTTCCAATGAAAGCAACTCTGAGCCCCTTTATACCGGAAACCCTGCTTCCGGAACAATCGCTGTTAAAAGCATTTAAATTTAATTTGTGTGAAAGGTCCGTTATAACATAGTAAGGCTTCCTTCATCATACATATTGTCAAGACAATTCAGTTGGAATGATACCGGCGGAACTGAAGGGATTTCCCTGTAATTTGCAATGGGAATGGTATTTATGTTGTTGTTTGCTGTTTAACGCCGCACTCAGCAATAGTACAGCTATATGACAGCGGCCTGTAAATAATCGAGTCTGGACCAGACAATCCAGTGATTGACATCATGAACATCGATCCACGCAATTGGGATACGATGACGTGCATCAACCAAATCAGCGAGCCTGACTACCCGATCCCGTTAGTCGCCTCTTACGACAAGCGTAGTCGCCTTTTACGGCAAGAATGGATTGCTGTAGACCTGTTCTACACCGGATCTTCACGGGCAGAAATGGTATATAAAGAGGCTTACTGGGGCAGTCTGGTAGGTTACAATCCACAGTTCGGTTCTCAGTGAGTGACTGCACACACAATGGGGGAACAACTGCAACACAAGCTCTTGTCCTCGTTTCTGTTTTGTTTGCTGGACCACACGTCACAGTGCCACTGCAGTCACCGACCCATTCTCCCCAAGTGGAATCTGAAAAGCAACAAAGAGATAGGAATTAGCCAGCAATCGATCACCTTCATTACACGCTTTATGGTTTATTTTTGCACAAAAATACACAGAATAGTTTTTCCAACTTAGGAACACTTGGTGGAACAGAATATCACACATATTCATTAAACTCAATCTTGTGGTCAGGGTAGGTGACCTAGTTGATTGCGTGTACTTTCACCCACCATTGCTGATCCGTGAAGATTCAGGGGTAGAATAGGTCTTCAGCAACCAATGCTTGCCGTAAAAGGTGACTATGCTTGTCGTAAAAGGCGACTAACGGGATCGGGTGGTCGCTGACTCAGTTAATTAACGTCATCGTATCCCAATTGCGTGGATCGATGTTCATGATGTCAATCACTGGATTGTCTGGTCCAGACTCGATTATTTACAGACCGCCGTCATATAGCTGTAATATTGCTGAGTGCGGCGTTAAACAACAAACCAACCAACCAACCAACCCACCATTGCTTTTTACCCAGAAAATAGCCTGATGATTGCTATTGCGGCGTATAACAGTAAACATTATTTAATAATTGTTTCCATTTGTTAACGCTTCAGAATTAGTTTTATTCGCCAGGGTTTCACGACGTACCATCGTATCTACTCAGAAAGAAGAAGTCCCAAAACTTCTTAAGGACACTGCTGTGCAGTTTTTTATTCAAGACATCATTGCACCTTCCGGAGGCAAAAGAGTTAACTGGCTATAAAAGTCGAGTTTTCACCCTTGCAAAACTAGGCTGAAATTTCGTGGTTCGATCGTAGCGCCACCAGTGGCTTTTACGAGTTATGACCCTTCCATGTCCCTCCTACTGACCAATCAGATTCAACCTCTCACATCACTTGCATTTGCTTCAAAAAAAATTGTGGCGCCTAGTCAAGGCTACCTGATCGAGTTAGTTGAAGACAAAATTTAATTCCCTGCCCCACAGACACCCGGTGCCAATCATTCACAGATTTGCAGGATGGAATAGAAGTTCCTGTCAACATTGAAGGCAAATAGTCCGCGATAGTCAGTTTCTGAATTGTAGCACAAGGGTTGAGCAAGTTGATTGAAAGTATGAAATGATTTGGAAAATATATGTCGACGCCCAGATGACGGTACACATGCTTTGCATAATCTGCAAATATAACACAGCAATTCCAGCCTAGTGGAAACTGGACTTTTACAGTCAGTTAACCGTCATGCCTCGAGAGGATGGACATCCATCATATTCCAGTGAACAATTATTTTGGGTATTATTAATGAAAAATATATGTTATTGGGTGTACTTTTTCTCAATAGTGAGGAGACAGGTGGACTACTTGTTATTGAAATGAGGTACGAACACTCTTTATATTTTCCTCACAAAGACGCCCTACAAATATAACAGGACACTGGTTCTGGTTCTGGTTTGTTGTTTAACGCCGCACTCAACAATATTCCAGCTATATGACGGCGATCTGTAAGTACTCGAGTCTTGACAAGACAATCCAGTGATTAATATCATGAGCATGAATCCATGCAATTGGGATTGATGACGTTAATTAACCGAGTCAGCGAGCCTGACCACCCGATCCCGTGAGGCGCCTTTTTCGACAAGCATAGTCGCCTTTTACGGCAAGCATGGGTTGCTGAAGACGTATTCTACCCCGGAATCTTCACGGTTCACAACAGGACACACATTGAATTTGGTTCTTAAATACAATTTCGGTAGTCAAGCATTGCTAAGCGAGACTGCGTCATATGTCCGGTGCCATCGGTGGGTAAGGATACCCTCAATTTTTCGCAAACACCTGTTGTCATCACTATTTGATAATGATCCGTAAGCAGATGCATAGTATATAGTCGGGATAGTTCTGTGCTTTTAGAAGAGATTTCATATCATTATTGAAAAAGTTTTTGTCGCTTTTATTTCAAATACTACTGGACAAATTTAGTATTTGTGTTTTTCTCTGGTGTTCTTATTGTAAGGGTATGAAGGTAGATATATCCTCTCAGTGAACCAATATTAATGGGGGGGGGGGGGGGGGGGTTATAGTTGAACGCTCTTTATTTTGAAAGCCGTAAATACTATGAATGATTTTCTTTATATTGTTCCAAATTATCGTAATAAGCGACAGGGGATCGGGTGGTCAGGCTCACTGAAGTATATGGTTGATGCATGTCATCGAATACCAGTAGCGTCGATCGATGTTTATAATGTTAATCACTGGATATTTGGTCCAGATTCGATCATTTACAGACCGCCGTCATAAGCTTGGATATTGCTGAGTGCGGCGTTAAACAACAAACAAACAAACAGATTGTCCGTGCACACTTTGTGCCATCTAATGATCAACGCTGTAGCTAGATATAACGTTTTATGTTCCTAACAAGATATTCATCAAAATGCGAAATTGATGGCAAAAATCGATTATCAGAGTCTACGAGACTATTTACTAATATGTCATTTTGATCGGCTTTTCCGGTTGAGAATTAGTCTGCTTGAGGCGACGTAATATTGCATCTGGTTGTCAGATTCGATGAGTTTGTTGGTTGCCTGTCTGCGTATTCCCTTGTATGTTGCTCATAATATCAATCACTTGTTTGTGTGGCCCAGACTCGGTTATTATACCCCCGTTTACGAAGTAAGTCGGGGGTATATAGCGTTCCGTTCGTCCGTTCTTCGGTCCGAGCTTTTGTACGGCCAATAACTTTTTAACCCTGCACCCTAGCTTCACCAAACTTGCTACACACATTAACCACAATGAGTACTTGTGCCTTTTACTAGTTTGAAGATTTTGAACTTTTTAATTTTTGCCGTTTCCATGGAAACATTAACGAACTTAAACTTTTAGGGTGGGTGTTTTGTACGGCCTATATCTTTTTAACTATGCACCCTAGCTTCACCAAACGTTCTACACACATTTATCACAATGAGAACTTGTGCCTTTTGCTAGTTTAAAGATTCTGATTTTTTTTTATTTTTGCCGTTTCCATGGAATCATGGTGAAACATAAATTTTGGGTAGAGTTTTTGTTCGATCCATGTTTACAATATTGTGTATCCTAGCTTCAGCAAACTTGCTACATTAACCACTATGATTGTTTTTTATCTTTTATAAGATTCTTAAAGTTTTCTCTTTTGCTGTTTTCATGGAAACATGATGGAATTTAGAAATTTTGATGACTGGTTTTGTATAGCTAATATATTTTCCAAAATTGTTTCCACTCATGTAGATCATCATAAGTATCTGTGCTTTGTGTTAGTTTGAATTTATTAATTCTTTACCATATCTGTTAAGGCTAGATGGAAAACTATGAACTTATTGATATTGTTCCATTTTTTTATGTGTTTTTATATCAACAATTTTTGGTCCTTTTGATAATTATTCTTATGTAACTCCTCAATCAAAATTTTATTCAAATGTGTTCATGGTGATCTACTTCCTTGCAGTGAACACTGGTATAAAGGGAGATTTGAGGGGGGGGGGGGGGGGGGTCAACTGTCACTGGAACTCGATCTTAGTTTTTAAAATATTGAAGTTAAAATCAGTTAGAAATATGTAATATTTCATTAATTAACAAACTATTTACTATTTGGTGTTGACCAGCGGGGATAACGGGGGTATGTGAGCTTTGCTCACTTCTTTCTTGTTTACTCATGATGTTGCGGTCATTGCGGACAAAAGAAATGTACCCTATGTACCGTTCTCTTTGTACACATGCATACCACATACCTCTCTTTATGCACAAGTGTACCCGGGCTTGATAATATTAACGGTGCTGAAGTAAGGTTTGTAGGTTATAAAGATATCAGCTCACTCACAAACATCATTATCAAAGATGATGGCAGTCGCTATCGATTCGGGGCCTGTTCCACCAGTCAGTGTAATGGAGAACTGTTCGCTGTCTTCCTCTATCTGCAAACAGAGAAAAAAGAGGAACCTATACATGACGCGGGAGACATGCAGGAGAGATGTTTTTTTATGTTCGATGTGTTTGCTCGTTTTGTATATGACGGCGGCCTATAAGCATATTCAGATATCTTCTACACAAGTTCCGAGGTTTAATGGTTGGTTTGTTGTTTTACGCCGCACTCAGCAATATTCCAGCTACATGACGGCGGCCTGTAAATGATCGAGTCTGGACCAGACAATCCAGTGATTGACAGCATGAGCATCGTTCCACGTTTTCAGCGAGCCTGACCACCCCAATCCCGTTAGTCGCCTTTTACAAAAAGCATAGTCGCCTTTTACGGCAAGCATGGGTTGCTGAGGACCTATTCTACCCCTGATCTTTACGGGTCTAAAATATCTAAGACCGTAATAAATGTGTTGTGTCCCAGCACTAAATGTAACTTATCTTATTATGCAAAATGCATCACATTTAATCAGACTCGTGAAGATCCGGGTTAGAATACGTCTCCAGCAACCGTTAGAGACGACTAACGGGATATGGTGGTTAAGGCTCGCTGACTTGGTTGATGCATGTCATCGTATCCCAATTGCGTAGATCGATGCTCATGATATCAGTCACTAGAGTGTCCGGTCCAGACTCGATTATTTACAGACTGCCGTCATATAACTTGTATATTGCCGAGTACGGCGTTAAATAACGAACAACCAAACACAAAAATCGGCATCGAATAATCATGAGATATGTCAGCCTTATTGGACAAACGGTTTCTATAGAGAAGGACGCCGGACGCCCCACAGATTTGTTATGAATATGGAAGGATTAGGGCGCTTTTATCTATTAAGAGTGAGTGAGTTGGGTTTAACGCCGCTTTTAACAGTATTCAAGTTATATCACGGCGTGTCAGCTCAATGTGGGAGGAAAGCCCGAAGTGATGCAGTTATCAGACGTTTACCACTTCGGTGAAACCCACGAGCACGGGTATGGTGCTGACAAACCTAGAAACATAATCGGGGCGAACCGGAATTCGAACCCACAATCATAGGTTTCTGGCATGCCTAACGGAAGCAAATCTGCACAGCGAATAGCGGCGCTTTATACGACTTGGCCACCCGTGTCCCCTATCTATTAAGAATAAACCCTTAAATCTTTACCGTATCGTCATTGATTTGAACTGAAAGATTCGCCGCCGTCACGCCATCGGCTAACGTGATTGTTCCGGTCCTGTCCCCAATGATGTCCTCAGGTTCTGTTGTTACATCTGCTAAGGTGTAACTGACAGTGACGGTTCCAACTGAGCCTTGTTTTCGAACGAACTGGAAAATGACTGGACCCTTGTCCTCATCAACGTTGTCCGTCATTTGAACGACGCATACTTGACCAGCTGAAGAAGACGAAGAAGACTCAGTTTTCTGTCTCAGACATTTCTTTTTCTTTCAGGAATATATCAACAAACGGTAAATATAAAAGTAGTTAGTAGATTACGTGGGTGAAAGGTTGTGCAAAGGATAAAACAATTCTCTTTTTCTGTCGCAGACACCTGTTTCATTTAAGTCGCAGTGAAATTGAAGCCTTCAAATAATACGTTGATTGATTGTTCTGAAAGGTTAGACTTAAAGGGAACTTGAAAATAAATGAATACTATCACCAATTCAGCAATGTTAGGCTCCAAGCAGCCTCACTATTATTGTTTGTTATCCAGTACTTACAGAAAAGGTAACTGTGCTTCATATAAAGTTCAATAAAAACAAGTATCTTCTGAAATTAAATAATGCGTCTTTCAATACATATTCGTGAAGTCGACTCGTGCATGTTAATGCACGGCCTAGAATTTCGATGTTTTCGTGTTTGTCAGGAGCATGATACTCACACACGTTTTTTGTTTTGTTTTTTTAATGAAGAGCGCACAATGCTTGTTCAGCTATCAGGTCTCATAAAAACACTTTTGTCTAACCGTAAATAACGCGTACGCAATGCCATGACTAGCTGGAAGTCAATGTCTATGCGGCTTGGGTATTCTGCAAACAGGAATGGCGTAAAAACGTGTTGGTACATTCTTTTTGAGGCAGCATGGCATTGCTGAACTGCCATGGATTGCTTTGTCTCCTGACATCTCAGGACATCCCCTCAGAACACGTCACGGATGAGATGGAGTGACACATACGACAGGACCAGAACCAACCGGTAACGCCGGCTCAGTTTGGCCAATCTTTTATTCACACTTGGGACAACATCCCCAAGCTGTTCTTAACCACCTAATGTTTTCAATGTGCCGCCGCTGTATCAAAGCAAAAGGTGGTCACACCGGATACTGACATTGTTAATTTAGTTGTTACACCACCCTCTTCTATGGCATGTCGGCCTGTCTCCTGTAACTCGGTATGGGTTTCGTAAATGAATTCGTTATGATAAAACATTGATGAGTTGGTTGGTTGTTTAACGCGGCACTCCAGCTATGTTCCATGCTTGTCGTAAGAGGCGGCTAACGGAATCGGGTGGTCAGGCTCGGAGACTTGGTTGATGCATGTCATCGTATCCCAATTGCGCAGGTTGATGCTCATGATGTCAATAACTGGATTGTCTGGTGCAGACTCGATTATTTACAGACCACCGTCATATAGCTGAAGTATTTCTGAGCGCGGCGTTAAACAACAAACGAACATTGTTGCCACAGCTTGCACGCGAAATAAGTAAATAAGAAGTAATAAAAGGCGACAATGCTTGTCGTAAAAGGCGACTAACGGGATCGGGTGGTCAGGCTCGCTGACTTGGTTGATGCATGTCATCGATCCCAATTGCGTCGATCGATGCTCGTGATGTCAATCACTGGATTGTCTGGTCCATACTCGATTATTTACAGACCGCCGTCATATAGCTGGAATATTGTTGAGTGCGGCGTATAACATTAAGCCAAGCCAACTGCGTTCTGGGGCTAGGTTGTGCCATTCTTGGTGCCATTCTTGCGCCAGTTCGTGTGGATTGGCAACTGGTGAGTCAGCTTCGGTATCTTGCGCCCCAGGATGTCCCAGATGTGTTCCAGCATGATGTTATCTGGACACATGGTGGGTCAGGGGATGGTTGTGATGACGTTCTGCTGAAGGATGTATTTTACCGGTTAAGAACGGTGTGGCCTCGCGGTGGTGGGAATGGTAGCCCGATGGGGAGTATCAAAATGTACAACGATCGAATCAAGGATTGTACGCCTGCTCCTGTCATCCGTCAGATTTTGCTGAACAGTCAAAATGTCCTGCTTGCAGAAATGGGAAAGGCAACCTCACCAAAGTAAAGGGGATTGTTTGGCGTGTATGCCGTGTCGGGAAATGATGAGGTGGGGTTTAACATCGCGTTCAAGATTATTGCACCTATACAGTGACGTGCATGCACGTGTGTGTGTGTATGTCGCTGCTTGCACTAGTCCGGACTAATGCCGATTAAATATTGCCAGCCCACTGAGATACCATGCCGCAGTTTAACATGAATACCCCACTCAGACACAGTGTACTGACTCCGAGCCGACCAGTCCTTGTTTTTGCCCCTTAATACCGAGCGCCATGAAGGGTAACAACAAGTACCCTACATCGAACCTCAAACATGCCGCTCTCTGTGCGGACGCTGTACCACTACGGATGCGGTCTTTTGGGGAAAGGGAATTTTTCCCAGTAGTGTAGTGTAGTGTAGTGTAGTGTAGTGTAGTGTAGTGTAGTGTAGTGTAGTGTAGTGTAGTGTAGCGTAGTGTAGTGTCGCTCACTTACCTTGTGCTTCCGTCTGTGGCACGCAGGAAATTAGAAGGAATGCAAAGACTGACAGAAGAGTTGCAGCTGACATCTCTGAATTGTAAAAAGAATTGATACTTTTATAACATGTTACCAATATCTGTATTTGTTGTTTAAAGCGCACTCGGCAATGTTCATTTTTGTGAAATGCAAAAAATAAAATGCGTATATTCCAAGAAATTACTGAAATTTCCCACATTACATAAATGGGCACGCCAGAAACCTATGATTGTGGGTTCGAATCTCGGTTCGCCCCGATTATGTTTCTAGGTTTCTCAGCAACATACCCGTGCTCGTGGGTTTCACCGAAGTGGTAAACGTCTGACTACTGCATCACTTTGGGCTTTCCTCCCACATTAAGCTGACACGCCGTGATATAACTGGAATACTGTTGAAAACGGCGATAAATCCAACTCACTCACTCACTCACTCATTTTGCAAGTACAAGTTAGCAAAATTATGACTTAGTTGAAAATGCGATGTAATTAACATACACAAAGGCCGATGTAGTGTATACAAGTCCTCTCCCGTTGTAACAGTTTCCCGTGTATTTTACATTAAAACCCTCCACATACTCAATATAATTTAACAAATGAAATTGTGTCCATGAATGTACAAAGATAGTGAAAACATGAAAGTGGCCGGAAGCAGGGGGAAATATAATACCGTCAGTGAGTGAGTTAATATTGCTAAAAGCCGCATCAGCAGTATTGCAGCCTATTCGTGGCTATTCGTCAGTTACAGATAAAATTACAGATCAGTGAGTTTCTCCATGAGGTAATACTATGCACGGCTAGCATATTCTTTAAAGCAAAATTCTCTTAGACCAATTTGTAGCATTCAGCTAAAATTATCTTGTCCGATGTTTTACACGACACCATATCCGCAACTTAAGGTCATACAAAATTATTTAATAGAATTTCCTCCGCTCCCGCCTGCCTTCAAAACATTAAGCCTTACATTATTCTGTTGCCTCCAAGTTCCTAGATATACGTTAATATGCGTGTTCCTACTTTATTCATGAAATACTCCACACTAGTGGCCCAACTGAAAACGCATGATGCATGAGAATCGCACCCTTTGACAATAATTGTACAGAGATGCCTTAAATAGTTCGTTTAGAAATAAATAAAGTGTAACAATAAAATGTCTCCGCAAACCATGTTTTTAAAAAATCAATCAAACTCTGTGTACTATGAATGCTTGTACTGGAAATGTACCCCATTTCACAGCCTAAGGCGGGTTCATGGCTCTGAACAAGTAAGTGAGTTTGGCTGAACACCGCTTTGAACAGTATTTCAGTGATATCTCGTCAGCTTGACATTAGATGATCCCGTGAAGATTCCGTGATAGAATAGGTCTTTAGCAACCCATGCTTGCCGTAAAAGGCGACTATGCTTGTCGTAAAAGGCGACTAACGGGATCGGGTGGTCAGACTCGCTGACTTGGTTGATGCATTACCAGCATAATGTGAAACGTGATTTTGTACACACTATCCAATATGGCGGAGAGTTTACCTCGGCGTTCGTGTTTGTGCTTTTTCCGAAACATTCTAAACGATTCGAGTTTTGCTGATTTGATAAAAGACAGACACGCGTGATTACTGATATGTTATTTTTCTATATTCCTCTCTCAGAGTAAATATCTTAAATTTAGATTTCAAAACATGCTGTAAATAATGTTGTGAATGGTGATTTAGACATTTGTAAAGAATGGCGACATTTACGATGTACATAATTTTCGGAGGTCATTTGCAGTGATATTGCTTCCCCACAGAATTCAAGACTGTGAAGTTTATTTTGTGTGCGTGATATTTGTTAATTTTATTCGACTTCAAAGCGAGTGTTGAAGAGGAGGAACATATATGTCCCGCTGGTATCCATGTGGTTAAGGAAAATATTTGGTAAGCTAGTGAGTAAGTGAGTGAATTGGGTTAAACATCGCGTTGAACAGTATTTCACTTATATCACAGTTTGATGTGCGAGAAAAGCCCGAAGTGAAGCAGGTCTTGGACGTTTACCACCTTGGTGACAGGACTTAATCGGAGTGATTGGTTGGTTGGTTTGTTGTTTAACGCCGCACTCAGCAATATTCCAGCTATATGACGGCGGTCTGTAAATAATCGAGTCTGGACCAGACAATCCAGTGATTGACATGAGCATCGATCCACGCAATTGGGATCGATGACATGCATCAACCAAGTCAGCGAGCCTGACCACCCGATCCCGTTAGTCGCCTTTTACGACAAGCATAGTCACCTTTTACGGCAAGTAGTGGTTGCTGAAGACCTATTCTACCCCGGAATCTGCACGGGTCGGTGAACCGAGGTATGATCTGTGTGAAACATGTGTTTAACATCTTTTTGGCTTATGTTCAAAACAGCGTAACAGGTAACTCACATGCTCAACTATGGATGTCAATCTAAATGAGAAAGCTTACCTGCTCTGAAGATTCACCTTGCAGTCCAACGATTCTGGATATGCCTTGGAGGCAGTATAAGGCCATCTTTATAGCACATGTCGTTACACTTGGATGGGTTTGGGCGGGTAGACAATGTAGCAGTCTCTCGTTTGCATTAATGCGTTTAAGCTTCGTTAGGGTGTGCCCAGTAATATCTTGATCCAATTGCGTAATAATAACTAAGCTGGTTTATTGACTTAAAGTTTTCAACGAGCCCACCTTCTGAAAACCTGCACGAAGGGTTCAGCCTCAGTACAGAGAACGCCCAAACCATAACACATGCAGACACTTTGTAGGATTGATTATTGTAATACTTTCAAGGGTAAGAGTTTGTTTTGCAAGGAGTTGAGGTGTATGTCCCTATCCTTCTTCGATGCTGCATTTGCCAATCGTTTGGACATGGATCCCAATCCTGCCGTGGCACCATGCCTAGACTAACGCTCAGTATCTGAAAACACATAATTTTGATAGAAACAAGCAACTACAATTAAATTGCAAAGGATCCCCGATGAGATGGGACCAGAACCATTTGAAAATCAAAACGTGCTTTATTTAGTGATATAGCATTACAGTGTGACCTGTGCAGAATGGAAAATAGTATGGATCAAGCACTGAGACACCATGTCTTATCTGGCCGAGAAAATATGAAGTAGGAATATTGAGGTGCGTTGTTAAAATAAAGTATTGCATGACACATAAGGGTTAGTAAGTACAGGTCGAGTGTTTTGTTTCATTTGAGTTACACCCTTCATAGTGTACGGTCGTGGATTATGTTGTCAAAATACATGATATCAGGATTAATGTTAATATATTATGTAATATTTAATTGTTTAAGAGAGAGCCACCGGGGAAAGGGGGGTTTACAATCAACATTGATAAACTAATACCAATATTTCCTAATGTAAATCAATTATATTGTTCTTTGTTTGTTGTTTAACACTGCACTCAGCAAAATTCCAGGTATAAGACGGTGGTCTGTAAATGATCGAGGCTGGTTTACACAATCCAGTGATTGACATCATGAGCATTGATCTACGCTATTAGGATACGATGACATTCATCAAACAAGTCAGCGAAGATAAATTCTATCCCGGATCTTCACGGATCTTGAGGGGTCGACAGGCACCCAAGAAAGAAATATGTGCACAAGACGATATTAATACATAGTCCAAAGTGACAATGTTTTGTATGCTTATCCGAGGAAAATATGCATTTTGGAGCTAAATTTATGAGAGAATCGATCAGATGTCAACGTAATTTGTAGGCCACATTTTCGATCAATGATAATAGTTAGGTGTAGGAAGAATGGAAACCGTATATACAAACTTTGGAAGCATTCTAAGTGGTAGTTTTAGAGAGAGTGAGGGGAAGCGTTGGAACAATAATCGAGTTTTATCAGGACATGCAGTTTGATTTAGAAGGAAGTACGAAGTGAGACCCGTCTCAAACAGTCACCACTTTGGCGGAACCAATGACCACGATTATGGTGCTGTCAAACCTAGAAACATAATCAGATCGAACCAGGATTCGAGCCCATGATCATAGGTTTCTAGCGTGCCCTAATAGGTACACAACTCGTAGTCTCAGCGAGCTTGACCACCTTATCCAGTTAGTCGCCTCTTACGACAAGCAGAGTCGCTTTTTACAGCAAGCATGGGTTGCTGAAGACCTATTCTACCCCGGATCTTCAAGAGTACAAGATGAAGTGATAGTTTGTTTGTTTGTTGTTTAACGCCGCACTCATCAATCTTCCAGCTGTATGACGGGTGTCTGTAAATAATCGAGTCGGGACCAGAAAATCCAGTGATTGACATCATGAGCATCGATCCAGGCAATTGGGATACGATGACATGCATGAACCAAGTCAGCGAGCCTGACCACCAGATCCCGTTAGTCGCCTCTTACGACAAGCGTATGTTGCTGACGACCTATTCTACTCCAGATCTTCACGAGTCTCATGTCATAACTCGCAGCCCTGTGGCTTGACACATCACACAATACCCGGCTAGACTGACATATGCAGAAGGTATATTGCCTGGAGATGTCATCTTCAGTTCAAACTAGAGAGGAGTGTTCAATGATGTGCTCAAGTCCAGGATAGAGCTGCAACTGAATGCCTTGAGTTGCCCGGCCCTGTGGTTTATAGCAATAACAAAACGGGTGTACTGCTTCGGTAAAGAGTTCTAAGAATCGTCTTTCTTCCATGTTAGTGGCCACCATGTAGAGCGAAAACAATGACGATGACGAATGATGTCGCTGGTGACCCACTTCTTTATAGGAGAGTCAAACAGCAGCATGATGACGTCACTCTATGATGTGTCTCCACAGGGACACCTTGAGGGTCGTACTGAACTCGGTCTTTAGGTAGACCAGGCAGTAGATTTTGACATTGTCCTTGCAAACGAGTGCATTCATTGCTTTGGCGCAGAATCATGCCGTGAGGACAGGGAACAGGAATAGTGTGCTGGTCCTCCTGGTAGATGAGGTTCTTCACTGTGTCACAATTCACATGTTGATTGGTCTGGTACTTGAGGGTAAATCTACCGACTTTGCAAATGATCTTGGTGTCATCAGATTGAAGGTGAAATAGTTCTTGGGATCTGCAGAGACAAAGGTGCGGATGTCCTTCAGCACAAGTGAAACACAGTGGGAAAAACAACTTGTCCTGGACGCGGTAAGGCAGAACAGGGTGGCAGAGGTCAGTGGATGGCAATACCCGGCACCGGCATCAGGCCATGAAGTTCAAACAGCGCAGACACTGGAGGATGATCTCTGATGACGGGATGTCCCACGGGGAAGGTACCGTACTTGCAAATGTAAGGATAGAGAGAACAGACATCTTCATGTTGAATCTGGTTTGACTTTGTAGAACAACTTCGTGACACTCGTTCATTCTCAAAAGAAGGCCTCTCTGGGATCCAACGCCTTAGGCCTCTAAAAATGTAGGCCTTGCAGTGCAGTCAGGAATGCTGTCAGGTCAGCCTGGTCCTTCTGTTCTTGACGAAAATCACATGCCCACTGGATCACCACTTGGCTGATGTAAAAATGTTGCCGTAATACAGCCAGATGGTACAGGGTTTGATGGCACTTTTCCCATGCGTTGAAACCAAGGTTGCATGTTTTTTCACATTGGTCTTTCTTGTAACAGCGAGGACATCCATGCCAGAAGCAGCCAAGAATTTATACACAATGTGTGTCGTGGAGTCGTAGCCGTCTACCATGCACCGACTGCCATCAGCCCAGTTAAAGCCAACCTGCTGTATGTGCAGGTCATGGAGTTGATGCATGATTCAGTTGAGCAAATACAGTGAGTGATTGAGTTGGGTTTAACGCCGCTTTTAACATTGTTCCTGTTAAATCACGGCGTGTCAGCTTAATGCAGGAGGAAAGCCCGAAGTTATGCAGGTCTCAGACGTTTACCACTTCGGTGAAACCGACGAGCACGGGTATCGTGTTGACAATCCTAGAAACGTAATCGGGGTGAACCGGAATTCGAACTAACAATCATAGGTTTCTGTCGTGCCTAAGGGACACAACTCTGCACAGCGAATCGCGGCGCCACCCGTGCCCCCGAGCCAAGACAGAAACTGAAGGGAGAAGCGAGACTGCAGTGGGTAGCCTTGAGGGGGTATGATTGCAATGGTCTTTGCTTCCAAAAACTGTTTTCGAAAAGGCCTGCATGCAGGCAATGGGTAGAGTCACTGCTTCATGAAAACGGTCATACCAGGTCAAAAAAGCTTTACGTTCAGCAGGAAAGATGCCATCTAGATCATAAGCAGAGATCATCATAACCTTTGTGAGTTTCCTTGTTGAAGATGTGGGGTAAGTAGCCTTTCTTGAGTTCAGTCAGTTGATATTACAGATGCCAACAGAAACAAGCAGCAAAGAACAACGGCAAAAAGCATGATAACAGTCCCTGTTACAACTGTCAAAACAACGACTGCCAAAACTCGCTAAATACAATATATTCCCAATACAAGATATTTACCATCCACAAACACACTCGCATGATAACCTCTACATATTCTCTCGTAACATCATATGCAGCATCATTCGAGTCACAAATAACGATATATCTGATAATTGGCAATATAGCATCACACTCCCCAAAATCTCATTGCTTCGGACCAGGGGAGAGTTTTCTCTCACAGGTTAAAAGTCCATGATAAGCCTGCTTTATGGATAACACAGGTTAAAAGTCCATGATAAGCCTGCTTTATGGATAACAACTTCTGGTTCATTGTTTTTATTGACGTTTCAATATTAATGTAGATTCTTACACCATTATGAAGCGGGAGTGTGAACGGTGAATATGTATTATGAATTGACTTTCGAGTAAAAGCGACAAATCTCATAAGAATCCTTAATTATTTAGTATTTAAACATAACAATATTCATAGTTTCTGTATTAATATGCCAGGATAGTTTTAAATCTTCTCAATGATATTATTGCTGGGACCATAAACTATAGGCAATACTATTATTGAGTCAAATTAAAAACTTCACATTTTTAAAAGTAATCCCATATATGATATACAACGGACAAATGTATGAGAGGAAATAATTTTTATTCATAAATGTCCAAAGAAGGATTTTATTTAACGGTGGTAACCATAATTTGTTCCAAGCACCTACGGTATTCGGTAATAACATCAACAGTTTAAATCATTAGTCCCAAGCACGAGAATCTGATGGCACACAAGTTCAGTAGCGTGTTCAGTAGCGTTCAGTACCATGTGCGTTGACAACTGCCACACAACGCCTCCGCATGGACCTTGTGATACTTGTGAACACATGATTGGGAAGACGACGCCATTGTTGCTGCAAAACGGTGCCAAGATCTTGCAAATTCTGTGGTTGGTTCTGGAGAGTGCACAGACTTCTGCCAAGAGCATCCCAGACGTGTTCGATGGAATTTGGGTCGGGAGACCTTGACGGCCAGTCCATGACGTTGACTCCCGCATTCTGAAGGAAATTCCTTGTCAAAATTGCTGTGTTGGTTCAGGCATTGTCGTGTTGGAAGATCAAACCGGGTCCATGTGCTGCCATAAAAGGCAGAGGTTC